CTTAGGTACGAAGGAGTTGGTTAGTTGGGGAATTGAGGGGAATGACGCTGTATGGGTTTGGAAATGAGGATGAGGATATGAGTGTAAGAATATATAAACTACCTATCCAAAACTTCAGATTATAGGAAACAAACGAATACTTGGATAATCAATTGAGTGTATAGTAAATATATCTCTTGATTAGAGTAATATTTAGTACTTAGTATTTAGTATGGCTGTGAGGGTGGTATTTCTATCTTGTATACGTTCGCATATATAAATGTATGTGTATACATCTCCCCCTGACCAATCCGAATCCTCGTATTAAAAATCAGATGGAAAGGGAGTGGTGCATGTCCAGAATCTAGATGGATGATGATGATGATGATGATGATGATATGCAGATACCTACTTTTATTCTCGAAATCCAATCCTATCTAATGCAATCTAATGCAATCTAATCTTGACACTGACTGACTGACTGACTGACTGATTGGCTATTTATATAGATAGATAAGAAAGGAAGAAATTGAGGATCCATCTTCCTATAGGTAGAGTATTTGTTTTCTTTTCTGACAAGTTCAAGATTTGAGCTATGCGTTAAACCCAGTTCCGCGGCTGATGCTGACTGATGCTGATGCTGATAGGTACTGACGCTGCTCACATCATCATCTGTATCTCCTACTAGGTAATCTACTTACAATCCTCCGTTTCCATTCCTAGACATCAAAAATCGCATGAAAAGGATAGTATAATAGAATCAAAGAGAATAGATACACCGATCCGACTCAAATTCCCCATCACATTATTGAAACCCCCTTCGTCCATCCATCCCCATCTATTCATCCACCACCCACCCACCAATCCCTTCCTTCACAAATCATAGCATCTAAAGCATCATAAACAAGTAAACCCTAGAACCAACCACCTAACACCCATCCATCCTTTTTCTAGTTCAAGATACACAATACACAGTAGCAGTAAGTCAGTCACTCATTCCATCAACCACAATACTTGATAAATACTTGATCCATCTATCTGTCTCACAACCCCGTATGTTCATGCTCTAATCCGCATTTTGCATTTCATTTGTCTTGATTGGATTTTTCTCCACACATAGTAAACTCTACCTACAGAGTACAAAACCTACCCTCCCTACCTAACCTTGTGGTTAATTCGGCGTCTGTGGATTGGATCCTTACTGTACCCCCACGCACATCAATACGCACGTGGCGGGTGGACAGCGCATTGAAACCTTGGGTTTTGATACCGAGGCCCATTTGAATCATTTTGCCAATACCTAAAAAGTTAGGTTTTACATGAACTAAAAACATATTTAGAATTTAATAATGTATTTATATTAATAAGAATATTCAATTCAATACATAACCTTAAGAAAATATATGAAATAAAAAGAAAAGAGATATTAATATGAATTAGAATTTAAGAAATCGATTGATATAAAAAATTTCGAATTATCTTAAAAATTGAAATTTATATTCAATATAAAAGTATTTAAAAAAAATTAAATATTGAAATTATGTTATTATTCAAGTTTATTCAAATAATTTTATATTGAATATAAATTTCAATTTTTGAGATAATTCGAATTTTTTTATATTAATCGATTCCTTAAATTCTAATTCATACTAATATCTCTTTTCTTTTCTTTTTATCAATCTTTTAAGGTTTTATATTGAATAAAAAAATTCTATAATTTCTAGATATTAATTAATAAAAGCTTGATTAATTATATATTCTAATATTTAAGGCATGAATAAAAATAACTTAGTTATTATAGTTAAATTAATTATAATTTTATTAAATTGAATTAGAATTTTAGTTTTTGATATAATTTAAATATAATTATATTAGTCGATTCATTGAATTTGAATTAATAATTTTCTTTTTTTCTTTTTTATTTCTTTTATTCTTTTGAAGTTATATACTAAATTGAATAATTTTTTTCAATATTATAAAAACTGATTTCTAATTCGAATAAGCGAGATAAGGAATCCTTATCGAAATTCTTTTACTTATTAGTAATTAGTTTATACATAAAAAGAAAACTATTTAAAAAAGATTATATATTAGAATTTAAATATTAGTATACTTCTTATAGAAAATTCTGAAATAAATTCTAAAATCATATTAATAATATTAATAATATTAATAATATTAATAATATTAATAATAAAAGCTTTCTAATAATATAATTTTTTTTATAAAATTATTATTTATTATATAATTCTATATAATATAATTCTTTTTCTAAGATTTCTATATATATATTATATAAATTTTAGAAATTCTTTTTAAATTATGTAAAACCTAACTTTTCAGGTATTGGCAAAATGATTCAAATGGGCCCCGGTATTTGACGGCTGGGGTATGTAAGAGTTATCGAACTTACTTACTACACTCTGTAAATTTTGTAATAAAATCCCTATAAAAATAATGTTTTTCTATACAAATTAAAAAAGTTAATAACTTTTTCAATTTAAATTTTAAATTTTTCAAAACTTCAAAATAATTAATTAATATTATTCTTTATTTAATAAAAATAATAACCTTATATAGTATCATTCTATATATTAATACCTCAAATATCAGGAATATAATTAAAATTATTTCAACTAGCATTTTTGATATTTCAATCTCAACTTTTTTTGATAATGTTATTATTCTAGTCTCAATTTGATTTGAATAAAAAATTCATATTCTGATTTTAAAAATATATGATATTCTGGTTTCAAACTGATTTAATATTCTAATTTCAAATTGATTTGATATTCTGGTTTTAAAAATCATATATTATTTTGATCTTAAAAACCATATATCATTTTGATTTTAAAAGTCATATTCTAATTATAATATAATATAAAGTATATTGAATAATTATAAACTACAAATCTATAGATTTAAGATCTCTTTTTTAATCTTTTAGATTTATAAATATCTTCCTTTTTTTTTTCTCTTTATGCTTTCCTTTCTTATTTTTCTTACTTTTCTTAGTCTTCTTCTTCTTCTTCTTTTTCTTATTCTTATTTATACTCTTAACCGAAATCAGAATATTAATATTCCTATAAATTTGAATCAAATTAATACTTTTCAAATTGAAACCAGAATAGTGTTACGGGAGCTGCCTCTAGGGTCACGTGGAAGTGTCTAGAGATCTCTCGAGGTGGTTTAGACTAGACTTCAAGTAGGAATTCAATAAGGTTGTAACTGGTTGCAATTCTCGTAACTATAGTAATGAAACTAATGATTGTTCTTGAGCACGAAGCTCTACATTGTAATGAAATCCCATTCCCTTATATAGATCTTCGTACTCTGATGTTGGTTGGAGTTTCTTGGAGTCCTGGCTCCCAAGGACCTCCTTGGAGCCCTGGCTCCTGGGGACTCCACCACGTGACACTTGTCACATGGCATTCTGTTACCCATCGTAACAAATAGCAATATTTTGAAAATCAAAACGACCTGAAATAATATATACTAGACCCCAACTAGCACTTTTGACATTTGAGGTATTAATATATAGAATGATGCTATATGAGGTTATTATCGTTAAAAAAAAATTGTTTTTCATGATTTTTTATTTATAAATTATATAAATTTGAAATTGAAAATAATAGTTTTTTTATTAATTATTTTATATAAAGTTTCAATAAAGAAATAAGAATTTTAAAAGCTAAAAAATTAATAGTTTTAATAAGGAAATCGAAATCTATATGATGAGGAGGTTCTACAACTCTTACTAATGGAGAGTGCTTGTTCGTCTTACTTCTAGGTACTTGGTACTTACCATTTATCGTTTTTTATTTGCGGTTGTGCGCTGTGAAGTGGAGTTGCATTCGCGGTTTTGGGTATCGGAGAGAGGTGTACAAGTAAGGATTGCGGCGTGGTGTCAATTCTTAGAGTTCGCTGGAGTGCAAGTTTTCGCTTGGGGTTTGGAGTTGAGGGTAATGTTGAAGTGAGGATTTGGGGGGTGTTTGGTGTGTGTTGAACGCGAGGAGAGATGTGGGAGGAGAGGATATAAATGAGGGGATAAATCTAGTGATTGGAAGATGGGGATGAATATCTACACTTCTTCTTTTGGGAAAATGTGGTGAAAAAGTCTATAACGCTGAGAGCTGGAGAGAGTGGGATTTGTGGTTTGGTGGTCTGAATGGTTGGAGTGGTGTTTTGTTGAGGAGAAATTTCATATAGATAGTACGCCCAGGTATGATTCCATGTATCTATATACCGTCGCCATCTGAGGTATAATACTATAATTTATCATAGTGTGAAATCTTCTGAATAGTATCGGGATTCTAGACCTCGAATGGCAGGCAAAGATCAAGATACTTCATCATGTTATTAGTGTGGTGTGATTATGCAAAGATATTCTCACAGCTTACATACATGTATACATATACATCATTCATTACTCACAGTCATCATTTCACATATCCATACCATTCTCCAACGTATGTAAGATAAAACTCCGTCAGATATAGCCGTAGACTACTGAGCTCTTCATCAAACGGAGAAGGATAGCGACGACTGAGATATAATTGTTCAGGACTAATTGCCAAGTTCTCTGCATTTCACATCCATTTTGCCAGATACTTTACACAGGGCACTTGATGCAATTCTTCGACATGTTGGGATTTTTATATCCTTTTCAGTTGGAGACCGATTGGAGAGTTGGACGGTGATGAGATGAAATAGTATTTTCCCGAAGTCGTAAATATGCTATATACCCACTATTTCATTTACTTTCATGGACGGGACAAGATAAAGCATCATGAACCCATGGTGAATCTCTTCGTGATGATGGTAATCATTGTAATCTTCTTGAGTCTATCTTGAATTTGTACACAGTGGAAGAGGTCAACACTACCACCATCTTAAGAATGACACCAGCAATTCTTCAATTCTTCAATCCTTCGCTTGGCTTTTATTTCTCGCCAGCTGTAATCTTGTAGCTTCTTCTGCTTCTTCGCATGCGCGTGATGGATCTGTGTTTGCAAAAAGCTATGATTACATCATTGTTGGCGGTGGAACCAGTGGTCTAGTCGTGGCAAATCGATGATCTGAAGATCCTGAAAGTTAGTAATTTATCCAAAATTCGATTCTAGTGTACAAAGACAACTTTTCTACAGAACCCGTATTGGTGACTGAACATGGTCTTACAGAAAATAGCTCTCTCACCTTCATCCCAAGACTCGGTCTCTAATATTTCCCCAACAATGTGAAGAACTGGAATTTCGTTTCCGCACCCGCCGAAACACTGCCAAATGCAACTTTCAACGTCTACATCGCGGATGTAGTAGGAGGTAGTTCAATACACAAGGGTATATTTGCCGATCGAGGATCTAAAGCAGACTATGATGCATGGGGAACTCTCATCGGAGACGATACCTGGAGTTGGGAAGGACTCTGTCCCTACTCCATCAAAAGCACGACTTACACTCCACCATCAGAGGAACTAAAAACACATTTCGATATCAGGAATAACGCTTCAGCATATGGGAATGGACCTATCCAAATCAGTTATCCTTCTATCATCTTTCCCGATTACAGCAACCAAACTCTAGCCGCGGAAGATATTGGAATCAATATATCTGATGCATCGGAATTCGGTAATGCGATTGGTTTCTGCTGGGTTCCTCAGACTCTTGATCCCAAAACGAGGTTTCGTTCGCATTCATGCATCGCTCATTATGATCCTATTGCTCGCAGACCAAATCTTCATCTCATCACGGGTCATTTAGTGGAAAAGATTCTTTGCGATGACAATCTCACTGCTACTGGTGTGAAATTCACATCTGTCCAAACAAATCATACACATATAGTATCAGCAAATAAAGAAGTTATTTTAGCAGCCGGAGCGATCAACACACCCAAGCTTCTACAACTCAGTGGGATAGTTTCCAGACACGCACTCGAAGCTGCGGGGTGGAGGTTCTCCTCGATGCACCGGCTGTAGGGGCAAATTTTCAGGATCATCCGGTTACGTATCTCAGCTGGAATGTTACGAATTCGGCGTTTCCGAATGATGCGACGACTGCGATGAATGTTTCGTATAATGCGAGTGCGTGGCAGGAATACATCACGAATCATACGGTTGGTCTTTCCTTTCTTTATTTACAACCTTTTTGACGTATAGTCAGAGCATACTGAATACATCACATGGACCATGTACTCAAGGCACTTCTCCAGATGCAGCATTTATCTCTCTCTCTCAACTCACATCCCAAAGCCAAGAAATCATCGATCAAGCACGCGCTCAAAATGTATCGTACTACCTCCCACCCATCTATCGTAACAATCCAGCACTCCTCAAAGGGTATCTAGCTCAACGTGATATCATCCTCGATCATTTCTCCCGAGCCGACGCAGCAGTAAAAGAAATTCCCGTTGGCACCACAGGTCCCAGTATGTACCTGATCTCTCTCCCCCATAATATCAAATATCCCATAACCCCCTCTAAACACAACCCTCACCACCTACTAACCCCATCTCAGGCGCCTGCGCCGTCGGAAAACCTCTCTCCCGAGGAATCATCACACTCTCCTCCTCTTCCCCCCATTCCCAACCCATCATAAACCCACCACACATTTTTCTCCCCTACCGACTCCCTCATTCTCACCTCCTTCATCCGCTTCATCCGCTCCTATTATTCCTCCCCCCTGCTGTCCTCCTACTTCCCCACCGAAAACTTTCCCAGTCCCACAGCTCAAACAGATGCCGAGATTTTCGCCGCGCTGATTAGCGCAAGGGCTATCGGCCCGAGTTTTGCGCATCCATCTGGAACGCGTGCGTTAGGAAGAGGAAATTGGGAGGTTGTGTGGGAAAAGATTTGTTGGTGTATGGGGTGCGGAGAGTGAGTGTTGTGGATGCGAGTGTCATGCCGATTATTCCCGCGACGCATTTGCAGTTGGCGGTTTATGCGGTGGCGGAGAAGGCGGGGGATATTATTAAGGGGAGGGTGTGGTTTTGATTGGGTGGTTGGGTGGTTGGGTGAGAAGGGGTGGGAGCGTTAGGAGGAGGAATGGATGTGGTTAATTTGACTTGGATTTGGACTTGGATTTGACCTTGAATTGAAATTTGAATTCGGTAGAACTTTAAAGTTAGGAATGAAAAAATAAATTTCACATCTTAAAAGAGAAACCCCAATAGAAAGACGCTGGAAAACATGAAGGTTTTGAATTCTTAAACTATCTCGTGTTGACTTGTGCTGAGGGCAAGGTGAAGGTGAAGGCGAAGAAATCGTGTATTGAGATCAGAAGGAATTCATTTTTAATATGTGTACGGACGGTTTGTTTTGGAATGGTTATAGATATTGGTATTGGCGAATGGTAAGTTGGCGAATGAATGAACGAATGAATGATTTGGGTGCAACAGAAAGTAGACATTGATGAATGATGATAGCAGCATGCGGTGGCGGTGATTAGGGCTTAATGTTTCGATAACTGGATATTGAATATCAAAACATTAGAAAAAATTACACAATACAAATATCCTGGTAGAGAATTGCGAAGCGAGGGGGTAGGGTGAGATATTATCTTCACTTTAAGAAGTCTGTGGATTGAGGGGAGGAGAATTGTTGTCATCTATGTGAAGATTGTATTCTTTGATGGAAAATTATGGAAGATGAGGGGTTTCTTGGGTGTCGTGTTTGGGTTTGTGTTTGGGTTTGTGTTTGGTATGCGTGGAGATGGAGTAGGTAGATAATTTCGCTTATATGAATGGAGACTCGGGTGAGATGATATTCTTTCCCAAGAAGAATTGAGTGTCGTGTAGATTTTAGGAGGATATTAATATACAATATGCTTGATGTCTTCTTCGTGTTTTTTGTGATCATTTTCTTGGAGCTTGGTTTGGCGAGGGGTGTGATGAGAATACGCGAGCGAGGGAATAGTTGACGTCTAGCTTATGTTTTGTTTGGACAATTAGTTTGAGAGTTTACGGATAAGAATGATCATTGCGATGAATAGAGATTGGTAAGTTTTGGACATTTGGAAATGTGAAGTGATCATTTGCACCGCGAAATTGGAGCATATCTCTGAATATTCAGGACTACTTATTACATTTTCTCAATCTAATTACTATTCCTGATCCTGTGAATAACCAAGTGGATATGCTACCGACCCCCACTTTCCCAAATATTCGATCATCCAAGTCGATAAGTATTTCCTTCCAAAAACTCCTCCAACATCACCAATTTCCCCCACGCATTCTCCACAGTCCACATAATCACTTTCTCGGATCCCAAACCCCAATATCCAAATTCCTTACAGAAGCTAAAATACTCCGCAAACATCTCAGCTTCAGTAGATATACTACTCTCAAAACCATCCTCACTAACTTGTTCATAAACAATAGTCTTTCCACTCGATTTCATCAACGCAGCAACAATTTCGATTTGCTTCCATTACATAAATTTTTGCAGCGGCACAGAGAATCTTCCTTTCATACTTTTTATCCCACCCAGAGAGAATAGCACCCAACCACAAACTTCCCCGAATCAGCTACCGCATCGAGTGAGGAACCTGCATTTTCGAGCTCGTAAGTCTTATATCAAGATAACACCATATTCCATCAGCCGCCTCTCGCAGAGCCAGAAATATCTACACTTGAGAATTCTGCATAAAGGAACCGAGAGATGAATAAATTTTTAAATGGGAGTGCGCGGTATATATTGCTCGATCTTGGGGTTTGTATTATAAGCGGATCTTGGTGTATTTATCGTTCTGAGAGCGTGGATATGTGAAGGAGGGTGCGGGATATTATATATTATTTATTGGATTCATATCTCGATAGCTATATCAACGATGGCTTTACGAATCACCGCTGTGGTATTCGATTCAATATCTACAGCGTTGAGATTAAATCGGAGGAGTCATGATGAACACAGTATGTACGTTTTTTAATTCTGTAAGGTACGAATGGGGATTGGTGACGTCGTTGTGGATAAGGGAGATTTTCTCGGCGAGGGTTTGGGATAAGGAAGATGGTGTTGAGGGTTATGCCGCGGATGGTGTATTGTTGGTTAGGGATGAGTTGTCTGGTAGTTTGTGGATGAGGGGGCTTCATTGTTGGCTGGTGGCTTGGCTTTAAAGACTACGAGGCTTTTGGACATTTCGTTTGAGGTGTGTGGTTTTGAAAGATAAGCTCTTGAAGCAGTTGTTTCTAAGAGAAGTTTGTGGAGTTTGGGGGTTGTGTTCAAAATTACAGGCTTTTATAGATATCCAAAGTCACTCCCTCCCAATTTTGAGTTGGTGTTCTAATTCCATAAATAGTATAGCTTGAAGCGACTCGCTTGTTCGCTTTCAACTATGATTGGATGTTTGGAACTACACTTAGTTATTTAGTGCGTATATATCAAAAAGTGAATCGATCATATCCTACTTGTCAATCCATCTTCAAAACAGCCAGGTATCGGAAGCTCGCAGGTTCGCGTGTTCGCGTGTTCGCATCTTCGTCATCTCATTAGGATAAGAATTATATTTAAACATTATACAAAGCCTATCAAAATTATCTAGGATTTGAAAAGATAATTGTATATTTAGGTTCTCTCATGCGATCTGAGCCGCATGTCTATGCATCCGATTGGCATTACCCCCCGCTCAGCTCAAGCTTATATTATGTAATACTGAACCACTACCAACCGATTTTTCCATAAAGCCCACTGTAACAGTTCATGTATTTATCACTGAGATATTCTCAGCATACATATTCAATGACTCCTCAAGAAAGATCTAAATGAGTTTCTTAGAACGCATACAGTGCGCTTATGGTCGATATAAAACAGTGTCCAATTTCAACGGGCATCTCTAAACGCTTGATATCATTGAGGCTAGGAAACCGGTTCGTACCAGAGTTCATAGGTACTCTCCCCAAATAATATGATGCTCCAAGGAGCAGATATGCTGACAAAACAAGATGCCATGTATACAGGTAGTTCAAAGCTATTGACTCCATGGACTACCGCTAGTTCGAGAAGCCAGACGAAGATAGTGAGACACCATATTTGCTATTGCTCAATCAAAAATGTAAGGTGCTAAATTTGTACACAGGTTCTAGTAATATATGCTCAAACTAATCATTCACTAAAAGCAATTGCAGAACATTGATTACTTATCATAATCTCGAGACTTTGAGGCTCCCATTTTCTTCTCGAGAACACTTCGAGAAGACTTTTCGGCCAAGATTCGGCACTTAGAAGATGACTTCGGGAGACACCGAGGTGATCGAGATACAGAGTAATAATTCTATACAACGTCAACAAGATCTACTATCGATTTTGTAGAAATATGAATCACCAGGAGAAGGTTCGTGGAATTAGTTGTATTAATGTAGGTTCTATAGAAAGAGGAGTGCTCTTAAATAAGCAATTATATACTTGTTCAGCTACCGTACTGACGACATTGAACAGATTTAACATTAAATACTCCCCTAACTATACTTGTACCACATCGATCTGCTGGGAGAAGACTTTGCAGACTCTGAGGCCGATTTACACGAAGCGTGATCTCCTGTAGAATTACTAGCTACGAGAAAGATCTGGTAACACAACCATTCGGGCTATTTTTAATAGAGACGTCGGTACAAACTGATATTCATTTACAGTACCCAAAGATAAATGCCGCAGCAGGTTAAAGAGATCCATCTTCACGAGATCGGATCTTGATTCAGTTACATCTTTGTTGTATTAAAAAAGGCCATTGCGAACCTTTGATGGCTGCCGTCATCAAACACCATTAATCATAAATATGAAGCAGATGTAAACTACCATTGTCATGCGTTGATAACTAATAATGTCAAGATATGGTCAATTATTTTCTCATAATGTTGGATATGCCAGCTTTATCACGATGCAGATTGACCGTGAGTGAGACGGAGCCGAGGATGCCACATAATGTCTTTACCCCATAATATCAAGAGCATTCCAGCGAAAAGGTATACAGTGAGCCAAATTGGGGACGAATTGATCGATTCATTAATTGCCAACTTATCCAAGCTATCTCCGATTCACCTCAGATATGGCCCATGCAACAGCATCCTGATCTGATTTCCGCCTGGTTAGGCTTTCTTAAGGATTATCTCGGTGTCTATAGTCTCCCATTCACTTCATACCATTACATCGTGGCTGATGACTACTTCATTATTCTCCTTCGCATGATCTACGACGGAATAATCTACCGTAACCGTGATATCGTTAGGATGTGGAAACTTCTTCCTAGAACTATCTTCGAGACGCTGAAATCCATGACTACTTCTATGAGCTTGTAATGGTATCCCGTCATTGCCGCGAGTCTGCTTTTTGTTTGAGCCAAGGGCCGACGTCTTCGAAGGGTGTATAATTCGAGGTAATATCTTTTCGATCAAGGGTCTCCACGTCGGTAGGCATGCAGATATCAAATAGACACCAGGCTCCACCTGAGTCCAAGTCATATGTTCGACAGAAGTCCAAGTTGAGTCGGTAAAGGAGTTAGAGCCGAAGAAGCTGGAAAATCTTATGACAGATGTAACTAGGCCCCTGTTACCAAGCGAATCAGATTAGCCTTGGTCTTTCTTGTCCATGTTATTTGAGCAGCCTAAATACAAAAGACACTTACAGACTCCCTACAGCAAAAGTTATGGTCAAAAGTATCTGCGAGATCATAGTCAGCATCATCAGATCAATACATTAAGTGCTAAGAGAAGCTATTTTTTTATATAGTAAAGTCGATTACCTTTGTACGCCTGGTTGCATGAAGGTTCCACACTACAGGTATAGGCAATGCCAAAATGGCAAGATCGGTCGCAATATTCGGGATACTTGTCCAAATATAAAAGGCATTTCGATCAATACAGGCAGATGGGATTGAGGCGTCCCAGTTGGCTGCAAAAGGTTTACATTCAGCAAAATTAACTATGAACGTCGCAATAGTCATTCCAATCAGAACTATAGCAGCATGTTGTTAGTGTATTGTCATTTTATGTATCTGGGAGACCGGTAAATTATGCCCAGGGTAACCTTCAATCAGAATAAGTGACAAATGTTCCCCAAAATGGTATTGTGTTGGTGTGCTAAACAGTTCGATTGTGAAATACTTCTTGGGATGTTACTTACCAAACATGACAATACTTATCATGATACGAGTCCATTTTGCAATGAATAGTCGACGATAAAGACACAAAATCGCAATCTTCGGAAGATTTACAGCAACCCAGTAGATAGCAGCTAGTGCGAGGAGATGCTTAAACCAGACGGCAACTTGGTCAGGGTGATGCTTTTCGAGATAGGCAAGATGATGGCCAGCGCCTCCATGTTTGACCGCACCTGAAGCAGTAAGCTAATGCTTCCCACTTTCCCCGGGTAGTACTCACTTATGTCTACACCTGCCTGGCATATTTGAAGAAACAGTGCAGTAAATATGAGAAAATCATCCCTAACCCAAGGTCCTTTGATCAACCATCGTGCAACATAACGCAACGCGATACATATGATTTGAACTGGAATCCAGATGGCGGTGAAGACGATGACTCGGTTCCCTCTAAATGTGGAATCGTCTTCAAGAGGCACACTCGTCATGATATTCAAGGTAAACGCAATGATATTTCCAAGAGAGAATAGTGAAAAGAAGTGGAGAATGTGTGTCTTGACTGAATTTCTAAGCTATTGATCACGCTTCAGTCCTCCGGGGTTGGCTGATTATAAGTGCCATTAACTTGACTGGCTATTTCCACTGTGACTAAAGATAGGCAACGTACTGCCAGTGATTTGAGCTCTTCATTTCAGCCTTGAAGGGTTCCATTGAATCCACGATTTCAGCTTACGAACTGCAGATTGCATAACATTAACATTACTTGCGGGATCGACATGTGAGCTACCTGCCTTGTATAGAGATTGCGAAGGAACAATTACGATCCTCCGGATCGATAAAATGGTGCTTGGAGAGGAGAAAGATTCAATGCCAGGAGCTCGGTCGAAAAAGGAGGGTGGTCAGACGCGTTTTGTGGCATCCTGAGGCAAAATCTGGGTGACCCAGCAAGGATCTAAAATACCACACACTAAACAGTAATATAACTATCATGTCAAACCAAAACCCAAATTTAAGATACCTCATATGTACTAGGGCGACAATTTAATATTGCTTCAATCGTATAAATATATTAGCAATTACCTGGCTCAGCTTTGTGTTGTGTTGCATTTTTGTTAGCGTGCAGATGCCTTGATGCGGCGTCCGTTTGGTGTGAGGATCATCATATTCATCGAAAAATTGGATCCGCGTCCAAATTAACCCCCAATCATATCGACCTTATGGAAAAGATAACCTGCGAGTTATGACATTGTTTGAAAGAACGCATGCAATGAAGGGGCGCAGACCGGTTAAACGAGAAAGTCAAGGATTTGAATGACAGACAATCGAGCTCTCACTGGTGGCAGATAGACTTTATACTAGATGAGCCCTGATTTTGTATCAGAAGGTTGTGAATATTTAGCTAGGCTACAGACTCGTTACCCTTGTAAGCAGCCCCTCGCTTTTGGAGGAAAACTTCGACTTCCTCAATTCTTACATGCCTTGAGAGTAACACATACCAGCTAGTGTTTACTTAAGTCGAGATTAGAACTCTGGAAATTATCAATGATCTCTCAAATCTCACCATAAGAAAATACTTCTATCTCCGATTCGAAATTCTCATTATGAAGGCACTTATCGTCCAAGATGTAGGCGTCGCCAAAGTTGTCGATGACGCCAATGAGCCCTCCCTTCGACCAGACTACGTGAAAGTGAAAGTGGCTGCTGTAGCCTTGAATCCAAGTAAACTTTCTGATTAGCCTCAACCACAACTCGTATCAGCTGCTAAACATTTTATTAGCTGATTGGAAGACACTCGACGAGATTGGAAGAGCAGGTTCTAGAGTTGGTAAGAACACTTACTTGAACTCTTTTCCAAATTACCCAATCTCAGAAGCTAATGTTTTGAAACGAAAAAAGGATGTGACTTTTCTGGAACTGTTGTGAAAATTGGATCAGAGGTCAAATCTGATGTCAAGGAGGGCGACAGAATTTGGGGGTTCGTCCACGGCTGCAATCACTTGAATCCTGAAGATGGAGCATTTGCAGAATACATCGTTGCAAAAGATGGAATATTTGGGAAAGTTCCTGATTTTATGAGCATGGAAGATGCTGCTACTTTAGGTGTTGCTGTGGGTACCAACGGCCAGGTAATTTGATAAATTCGCAACCATTAGCGTTGAGACAGCTATCTGATTTGAGAACAGGCCATATACCAGACGCTCAAGCTCCCTCTCCCGACTCAACCTGCAGAAACTCCCCTTCCACTGCTCATTTATGGTGGAAGCACTGCAACTGGAACAATTGGTATTCAATTGGCCAAACTGTCAGTCTTGATATTCGTCTAGCTCTTAGTCTTCTCGCGCTCACAAGTCAACAGATCAGGCTTACAGGTTATAACTACTGCTAGCCCAAATAATTTTGAACTCCTCAAGTCTCGTGGAGCTGACAAAGTTTTCGATTACAACGACCCTGAAGTTGGCGAAAAGATCCGAGAGTCCACCAACAACAACTTGAAATATGTCTTTGACACAATTTCCTTGCCACCATCGGTAGCTATTTGCGCTGCAGCTATCTCGAGTCAATCTGAGCCTAGAGCAAAGTACACAGCGCTGCTTCCAGTAGATTTCCCAAGAAATGATGTTGATTCTGGTTTCACAATGGCCTATACATGTTGGGGGGAGAAGTTTCAGAGAGGAGACTGGCATTGCCCTGCTAAGCCGGAAGACTACGAGTTTGCAGTCAAATTCATAAAAGAGGTGGACAGCTTGATTTCCCAGAAAAAAGTTGTCCCACATCCCGCTACTGTGGGTACAAAGGGCTTGCACGGAATTTTGGATGCGTAAGTCATCATCTCACTATCATGGGGGTCTTTGCTAACAGGACCATAGGCTTCAGTTAATGAGGGAAGACAAGGTTCGTGGAACCAAACTTGTCTTCCGAATCTCAGACACAGTCTGAGGGGTTGAAGAACCTTTGATGTTATTTCCTGGAAACTTTTCTTGGAGTATTAAGTAGTTTTTACAAACTATCCTAGGCACAACAATAAAGTTTCAGTGTCTATATTTTGAGAATCATTCAGAACTTTGTGACTCTTGTTGAGTCCTTTGAATCAAAACACAAGCCCAGTAAAGAGTCTTCATAATATTGGATTTGAGCAACTAAAGGCTCATTTTTTCCCCCCTGCACCCGCCAATTACTAAGAAATGCGTGATAAACTACATTGGGTGACTTAAAGCGAGACCAACAATTGCATGTCATTTTTGGAAATCACATGCGACAGCGGCAAGCCTTGGCCACAATCTGAGCCTCTTTTCAACAGCTTTATAAATGCAAAGAATAGCGGAGCTAAAGTCTTACTTTGTAAATGCGGGACTCATGCATTTGTTATTGCATAATTCCACTTCACAAACCCAGAATGTTACATGCGGATCGAATAGTCCTAACCTCTAATCTCTCAGAAATTTTAGGTCCCACACTATAAGTCAATGGCACATTTAAATGCGAATTTACAAAGAAAAGTGACATTAAGCCTTGTAAGTAGATGGCTTCATTGAGTACATGTAAGTTGCAGCAAACTCGCCCCTGACGATGTGGGTAACATTAACGTGAGCTGGTGTAAAGGGGTCAATGTGAACGCGAGGGACCAGTGGGGGTACATACATCATTTCGTTTAACATCACCTAGGCAGGGCGAGGCGGGGTCTAATAAACGGCACAGTACATCACATGCATTCAGAATTAGACCATAAGGGAAGCTCGATTGGTGAACGCAAGCGGCGTAGGTGGGTTGATTCACACAGATGGCAGAAGGTGCGTGGAAAAGATAGTAGAAATACATTATCAAAGTAGCAGTAATCCCGGAAATCACGATCTGCAATATCACTCAAGTCAACTTCTCATCGGGCTGACAATTGAGGTGCTTCTTCACGAATCATTGCCACGAGTATGCTTACGCTCTTCAAGTAGGGATAAGAGGCGCTAGCTAGGAACGCGCAGTTCAGTCATCTCATGAATTCAAGGTGTATTCTGCAAGACTTCTTGAAAATCGAAGGGTTCCCGTTGTACGTCGTATTGAAGATGTAAGCAAGCTTTCATACTTTTCGATCTATAGCGCCTGTGGTGCCTTGCCAGCACCTTAGTCGAGGTAACCTAGAGCAAGATATGTTCATAGCTCAACTAAAGGAATTTGGACTAGGATTGCACGTCCATTAGCGACCTGGGGCATCTTCAGAGCCGTGTCCCACATACAGATGATCAATTCAAAACCGACAAGATTCCAACGTCATAGATTGTTTTTAACATCAATGGTAAGATACGGTCAATATTATATATTTGTTCATATCAATGCCGATCCGGGGTGTTGCCCAATCGAAGCTACACTGTATAATTGCGGTGAAATATACTCGAAGCGATGTGTTCCAGCCTAGGGCATTAACCTCATACGAGGGCGAATATCACGTCGTCAGATTTGGAAGCTTAAACAGGGGGCTATCTTAAACGGTCCTCACGCGGACCATTGCCTTAAACGCTTTCTACCGGCAAACCGGCTTACTCACTACTGTATGACATTGATTTTCTTTACATGATGATGGAGTACCAAGCGGTAGTTCATCTGCAGCACAGTACAATTGTTCGTACGGCTAAATCAAAAGATGGGTTTTTGCGAAGGGACTTTGACTGTGCCTCATCTACTCATCCACACACACCAACAGCGCTTTTGATGTATAATAAAGGAAATGGAATTGTCGATCTATCACGCGATTGGTGTTTTCTCTCCTCTCCAATGAATACCATACTCCGGTGCTCTGCTTGATCTACTGAAACACAGTGGCTTGTGTGATTGAAACTATAACCTGCAGTACAGAACCATGAACAAAATCGAAGCTCCATGTGGACGGTATCAGCATCGGAATATATAGTATTGAGATACTCTGCACCTTATGTAACAGCTGCCTCTTCAGGTATTCCGCTGCTATTAATTCGAGATTAATGTGGTCTATGTTCGTACGTATGTATTATCATTATTCAACCAATGTGCTTTTCATTTTGCCCATTTGTGAGTACCCCACGGCGGCAAACAAAAGACCAGGTAGCAGTGCGAAATCTTTCTCTTCGTTTGCAGAAGAGACTATTTGATATGCAGACTTTCGACTGCACGATTCCGAGATGAAGCTCATAAGTGGTGGCTTGGAGCACTCCATTTCATTGAGTACCAAGAAATTGATGAACTTTTATTGGTGTTGTAGCTTAGTATATAAACGAATTACTTAATGGGTACAGCTAGAAATGCACAACATGTCGTTCAAAGACAAAGGTAAAATGAAGCAGACTGTATCGCAAGTCCTACTCATAGTGGTGTTGTTGAGCCTTGATAACTTACTTTCATGTAGTGGTTACTGGCGTCGAAGACTTTGCAATGTTACTTCTTTGACGCAGATAAGGTCCCCATTTCAATAGAACCCAGGGAATTGGCATCAGAGCCACCGAAATAAACCCAAAAATACTTGTAGCCCATCCCACATGGAGGTGGGAGTACACTGTGAGATAATCTTTAGCGAATCCACCGCAAAAGATAAGACATTTGAGAACTTACTTGGTGTGATAAACAAAGGAAATATCGCAGCAAGAACATATCTTAGAAGCGATGTCGCTGCTATTGCCGAAGCACCCATCAATGCTTCATACACGTCGAGAAGATACAGTAATCCGCTCATCTAGAGTAACGGTCAGTTGAATCACATGATCAAAAAAGGTGACAATACTCACAAATACACATAGATTTCCCCATGCAATGAAGGTAGATGCGATTACGGAACTGATCCAGTGAATTTCCGATTTAGCAGTCCATGCAAACCAGAACAATCCAATCGGCAATCCAAAGCCGCCGAGCATTGCGGAGTGTAAGCGATATTCAGGCGGTACTAGGCCGTCGTTCCATCTGGAGTTTCTTGCAGCATGTTTTTTTTGATACCAGAGGCGATCTACTAAAATTACAGTAATAGTAGCCCCAATGCTGCCAATAGCAAATGGAATGAATGTAAGTCCAGTTTGCTGCGTATCGAATCCATAGACAGTACTATAGACGAATGGGAAGGCAGCAAAAAAAGAATACAAAACCGCAAAATTGAAGCCAATATAAAAAGACCATGCGATAACAATTGGTTCTGTATAAAGCATATGCAATGGCCGGAGTAAGGTGATGTAAAACATAAATCTCAGAGCAACCATACCAGATAGCTTCGGTTTTGCTTTACCACCTTTGGCATTTCGTTCCAAAATAGTTTTCTTGTAAGTTTCCTTCATACCAAGAGCGGCCACAAGAGAAACGAGGGCAAAGAAAAGAATTATCCATTCTGTCCAACGCCAGCCCTTCCTTGGAACTGCAAACCCGCCGATCAATGGTCTACTCCGACGTCAGAGGAGTATTCAAGACTTAGGTGACAACTTACCCAAGTGCGGGACCCAAGTATGGACATAGCGCAAAGAGTGTAGCTGTCACAGCTCTAGACTCTGGCTTCCAGAGATCTGCATTGGTACCTGCACCAACGACAAGTGGAGGGCTGCCAAAAACACCAGCAAGCAAGCGACATGCAACTAGCCCCCCAAAAGTCTGCGAAGCTCCTGCTCCAACAATAAATAAAGCAAATATCGGAAGTGAAATCATATATGTTGATGTTCTACCAAACTTTTCGCTAAGGGGTGCTGCAAGAACAGGCCCGAAGCCTAGCCCGAGCAAGAAAAGACAAAAAGGAAGTAGAGCGGCCGTCTCTGAAACATTGAATACTCGCATTATTTCCGGCACCGCTGGCGTGTATACAGATGATGCGAACGTCCTGTGCAAGCACACATTAGATGAAAGAGTTAAAAAAGTTTGTAGAAATCAAACTTACACGGTCAGACCAAACATCCCGATGAGAAGTGTATGATAGACTCTCTTGGCCATAGACCAATTATATGGGTTTTGACCATCTTCATCCCAACTGACAACGACAGTTGGTGGTTCTTCAGATTTTTTGCCTGAAAGCTTGGTTCCATCATTGATCTCCATATCTTTGTTGCAGGAAAGCATCGAGGTGTCTCGAAGATCTAACTCACTACTTCCATTCTTGCTCTCTGGTTTGCTCTCTTCAGCCGCCGCCATTATGATAATGGAAACTGCAACGTCTGATTTGTTTGAATCTAAATGTAAACATAGGACACTGTTCTTGTCTTTGAATGAGTTTGGAAATCGACCTTGTTATGTCTACAGCAGAAATTACGGACCTAAGAACTTGAGATTTCCCATAGATTGAGATCATCAAAGACTGGAATTTTTTGACTCAGCCTGCAAGCGCTTCGTCTCCCAAAGGGTCGACTTCTTGAACGGATCAAACGGCACATAATCCACGTATTCGTGTATATTGATACTAGTACCTTGATCGTGGTATCCAAAGTTGGGTGTATGGCAAAATAATCAGATTGACCCACTGAAATGATACAGTAAAATTTGATGTGTAAGGCGCAGTAAATCATTCGCACGGCGTGGTATGCAGTAGTCTTTGGAATCGAGCAAACTAACATGCTTGCTTTCACTCGGTTCTTGCAGACACAAGGGTGTTGATTTTAGCTGCCCTCATATGAGGATAAACGCCAAGATATGACTCTGGACACGATTCAGGAATATGACAGTAAGTAAACCTGAGAAAAACATCGCAAACGAGGTGCCTTACTGCCTTCGTATAGTAAGCCTCCACAAAACTTCAGCCGATGATTTAGTGCCGGCACTTCCAAGCGTTAAAATAAGCCTCTAAAGATAATAACGGCCAGTATTAAATTGAGCGAGATCAGACAGAGATAGCTGCAGGGCTCTGGAGGCTGGCTTGAGACTAATGCTGTGCTGTCTGCATTTCCGCTTTCAGTTTTACGCCTCCCAGGTGCTAAGATGGTGTTGCGTGGAAACCCACATCTAGACTTGAGCAAAGGCATGATAAGTGATGTTTTTAGTATTAGTCCATCGATTTCAAATTCGGTACCGAACGTTCAAAAAATTGCCGTCCTAGTCAGCGTTCTCGGGACATGCTACAAGAAGATTTATTTGCATCTAGCTTATGTAAATACTGTCAATTTGAGGAATAACATGGTAGACAAAGGTGGGTGTAGTGGCTAATCAACAGAGTCATAGTTTCTTCTCTTTCTTTCGTCCATATATCCAGGTTTCACATCATCCCCACGTAACAATCTTCAGTTGTGGATAACCTTACCGAACCATCGCAACCTTTTAGACTATCCCTGTACCGTGCCACTCGCCTTGCGCCCGCCATTATCATTACGGAAAGATGTCTACATTCAGACATTGGTACATTCAAAATTTATCTCGTGTCCAAATAAAGCAACAATAAGCTTATCCTATGTGTACATCCAAGTAAGTACATCCAAATAAGTGAGCCGGGACTATTACTAAGAGAAATTAATCACATGGTGCTCTACAGGGAGTCATTGGGGGCGTGAAGTGACAACAGAGTCACAAATATATACACGAAGTGCCATTATTTAACGTAGAATAGAGTGTTCCTAGCCCCAATGCGAGAGTCTTTTTCTGAAAAAATAAAATAATAAAAACTACCCCGAAGTTTTGGCCAATAATCGCGTGGAGCAGGCAGCTAAAAGAAAGAAAAACATGGCTACACCCGTGCCAAGATCTACGCACCAGTTTTCGCAAAGTGAAGAAACATTGGATTATGAATATTAAGCTTTCCACTGGGATATTATTCAAACCCAAGTCAAAATCAGAAAAGTCATTGAAGCTTAGTAACTGTTAGAATATCGAAGGCTAGGCACCTTCCGCGACCCAATTGGTCCTTTTTGGTGGTCACCTTGCGAAGATGATCTATTAATTGTAGATCCCAGGGTCAGTGAAGATTCATTCTCCTTCTGATGCATTGTGGTCCGTTGTATGATTCTTCTGGAGACAAGCACGAACGACGTATTAGATGACTGAAGAGCCGACCACACGCCGCGGACGGATGAAATCCTCGGTAGATGACCTCACGCAGTCGGTCTAAGATAGGTGTGCTTATTTCTCTTGAAGTGACGTGGATTATGATGGATGGTATGCTACGCGTAAAAACCGATGCAACGGGGAGTGTGAGGATAATGGCATTGGTGAAGGTGTGGCGGAATTTACAAAGCTATCTGTGGGCATGTGCATCCCATTCGATTTTGAATCCTCGCAGACTGACGGAATATCGCCTTACTCACAACATCAAGAACTTCTGCACCGCAATATCCCCTCTGATTACCACCGCAAAACGAAACTATGAGGTTGACTGTTCGCTCGCCTGCTTTTCAAGGACAGACATAGAAATACCAGACATCTCTAGGTAATTTTAGAACCTTTTCTTATGAAGAGATAGATCTTTTCAAGTATATTCAATAAGTTCAACTCAAACATCTACATCTTTACATCTTACTCACGTGGTACTTGACTGTCACTCGTAATTGCTGAAAAGCGTATACATATAACTGTCTTTGGGAGATAAAAGGTTTCAGAACTTGACTGCTCAACTGACGAAAATCGCATCTAAGAGTGCAGTAAACATAATGGCTCCTCTAAAAGCACCAACAGACCCCATTGCACTTGTTGGCATGAGTGAGTAATGGCCCTTTCGTCAATTAGTAAAGAGATTTAACATCTGTGGCAGGTTGTCGTTTACCCGGTGGTGCCTCCGATACCTCGAAGCTTTGGGATCTCCTAGTTAATGGAAGGTCAGGATTGAGCGAAATCCCCAAATCACGCTTCAATATAGACGCTTTTTACCATCCAGAGTCTAATAAGACAGGCACTATTAATGCAAAGGGTGGATACTTCTTAGAACACGACGTTCGGTTATTCGATAACGCCTTCTTTGGCATTAACAACTTAGAAGCAAAATACATGGATCCTCAGCAAAGACAACTACTAGAGGTTGTCTATGAATGTTTCGAGAGTGCTGGAATCACTCTCGAAGATGTATCAGGTGCAAACATTGGCTGTTACGTCGCAAACTTCACTACCGACTTCGTGAATGTCCAAGCGAAGGATCCAGATCTATATCATAGATATAGTGCAACAGGCTTTGGGCCTACAATTTTAGCAAACCGAATCAGCCATGCATTCAATTTGAAAGGCCCAAGTCTTGTACTTGATACAGCATGCTCATCATCATTATATGCTCTTCATGTGGCGTGTGCAGCATTGAACGTTGGTGAATGCGACTCCGCGATTGTGGCTGGAGCTAACCTGGTTCAATCTCCGGAAGCTTATATTGCCATGACAAAAGCCGGTGTTTTATCAAGTACATCAGTATCCCATACATTTGACTCTTCGGCAGATGGATATGGAAGAGGAGAAGGAATAGCCGCGTTGTACTTAAAGCGATTGGATCATCTGAATGCTTCGGATCCTGTACGCTCAATCATTCGTGGAACAGCGGTGAACAGGTAATATTCAATAATGCCACTCGAATCGTTTTCAAAGAGCTAACTTATGTACGTCTACCAGTAATGGATATACTCCTGGGATTACAATGCCAGGTGTTGATGGACAGGAAGCTGTTATTCGGAAAGCTTACGCCATGGCTGGATTGCCTCTCCATGACACTACGTACATTGAGGTATGTTGAAGAACCTCAACATAGAGATCTTCGCTTCAAATTCAACCCACTTACTAATCTCTTATTCTTAGAGTCACGGAACTGGCACAAGTATTGGAGATCCTATTGAAGTTGAAGCTATCTCACGATGCTTCAGCTCCAAATCTGGCCATCAGCCCCTCCTTATAGGCTCGGTTAAGCCTAATCTTGGTCATGGCGAAGCTGTTAGTGGTATCACTAGCATTATAAAAGCAACTCTTGCTCTTGAACGCCAAACCATTCCCCCCACGATTGGTGTTCGGAGTCTGAATCCACAGCTCAAACTCAAAGAGCGCAACATCAGAGTTGTTATGACCTCCGAATCATGGCCTGCAACCGCAACTGAAAGGATAAGTGTGAACTCCTTCGGCTACGGTGGAGCAAATGCGCATGCAATTATCGATTCTGCTAGGATGCACGTACCTCCACACAATCAAAGAAACCACAAAGATGTCGAGGATATTCATGCCACCATGATTTTACCCTTTTCTGCCCACAATACAGACTCCCTGACAAGAAACGCAACCGCCATTGCTTCTTCTAGAGTGCTGTCAAAGGATTTGCAAAAACTTGCATATACTTTGGCGTCGCATCGCTCGAGCCTGCAAGTCCGAGGTTATGTTCTTGCTCACAAGGAAGGTATCGAATCAAATATTTCGACAACACCTCTCAAATTCCAGCCATCGAGCGTCTCTAGCTCACCCATCGCCTTTGTTCTGACAGGTCAAGGGGCTCAGTCTGCAAGAATGGGTGCCAACTTGCTGGATAGATTCCCCGTTTTCACTCAAACAATTGATCATCTTGATGTATATCTTAAATCTTTAGATCAAGCACCAATATGGTCCCTCAGGGGTAAGTTGGGTCTCGTTCGGTTTCATTCAGTCTTGTTACCATTAGCTAACAGTATGTAAAGAAATCATATTGGAAAGCGAAGAATATAGCACAATTAATCAAGCATCAAGATCACAACCTATTTGTACCGCTCTGCAGATAGGATTGGTAACTTTACTCAAAGATTGGAACATTGAGCCAACAGCTGTGATCGGGCATTCTTCTGGTATGTATCAACTTCCTACTTGATGTTTCTATAGCTTAGCAATCAAATAGGGGAAATATGTGCAGCGTATGCTGCCGGCTTCATAACAATGGAAGAGGCAATGGCAATTGCTTATTATCGCGGGCTTGTCGTCTCAAAGATGAGTACACGAGGCGCAATGATGGTTGTTGGACTTGACCACGAAAGAGTCGTTAAACATATTGCAATGAACCACTTGCACGAAAGTCTTCGCGTCGCTTGTATTAATTCACCGGAGAGTACTACTGTTAGTGGGGACGCGGACGCCATCGATATTTTACTTTCAGCTCTCGAAGGACGGAAAATTTTCGTCCGGAAACTCAAAACAGACGGCAAAGCCTATCATTCTCATTTGATGCAAGAGATTGGGCAGTTCTACGAAGACCTTCTCCTTCCGATCTTATCTAGGAGAGATAAATCTAAGCTAGATGAGCTACGACCAGATGTCAAAATGTTTTCTTCGGTGGTCTCAGACTTAGTGCAGGAAAATGTGGTCAGAACACCAGCTTACTGGCGCAAGAACCTTGAGTCCCCTGTCCTTTTTTCTGGCGCAATGAAATCGCTATTATCATCTGGATCCTATCATATGATAGAAGTAGGACCTCACCCAGCATTAGCACAACCCGTGCGAGACGTTCAGCTCAGGGCCAACACAATGCAGTCCACCTATTTCTCAACATTGTCTCGCGGAGCTCATGATGAAATCTCTATGCTCAATCTGGTCGGCTCGCTCTACCTTCAAGGTCACAACCTGCCTTTCTCCAAGATAAACGCCATACAGAATGGTCTGCAAGTTATTCAAGATCTACCGACTTATTCCTGGGCTCATAAGAACATTCTTTGGAACGAATCTCGGATTAGCTCAGAATATCGCACGCAGAAATACAAAAGACACGATCTTCTTGGATCAAAAGTCCCTGGAACACCTGGCAGAGCTTTCTGGTGGCGCAATACTCTGAAGCTGCAAGAAGTGCCATGGATCCAAGACCACAAGTTGGGACAGACTATCGTATTTCCAGCCGCAGCTTACCTTGCCATGGCTATTGAAGGGCTACTTCAAGCTCATGATCACCTGATTGAAAGTAAAGTCACATTGAAGCAGGTCCACTTGCTCAATCTACTCGTTCTAGAAGCTGAGGGAGACGGAGTGGAATTGACCATGCAACTAGAACCAGCTAGGCTTTCAAGTGCCACAACCTCTGAAATATGGTGGCGATTCGAAATTTGTTCGCGCGTTGCAAATGTCGTCACAGTGCATGCCAATGGATTGATAGCCACGCATGGCCCGGACAATCTTTATATAGAGAGCTCATTCTCTTCTGCTGACTCTATCATGGAGGAGCAAAGTACCAAAACTTGGTACAAAAAACTGGCAAAAGAGGGGTTATGTTTTGGTCCGGAGTTTCACTCTCTGGTGGAGATCAAGACAGATCGTAGCAAAAGATATCCTGGTGTTTTGGCACAGACCAAATATCGTCGTGGAAGCGATTTGGGCGCGTATATTGAGTCCGATTACGTTATACATCCTGTAACAATCGACGCAATGTTGCAAGCAGCGATTGTTGGCTCCGCGGCTGGAGTAGTTCATGATTTCAGAGGCAAGATTCCAGTCATGGTGAGCGAATTCAATGTATTTATCAGCAAAATACCAAATGCTGCAGAGATCTGCAACATCAAAACAAGCTGCAGAAAAGTCGGTATCGAATCTGTATTACTCTCAGGAGAGCTACAGAGCCCCGATGGAAAGCTCTTAGCTCGCATGGAGGACATTCGTGCCATTCCTTACAAAGAGCACAAGTTGCGAGACCCGACTGAGCGAAACCCGTATCTTCAAATCTTGTGGAAGCCCAATGTCTCAACATTAACGAGTGAGAATTCTCATGTCTTCGCGAGCTATTTGGAGCAATTCAGCAGCTTTCTTCCTTCTCAATTTCAAGGTAGCGACATGGCATACTTGACCGGTGCAGTAGATCTCATTACTCATAGCAACGGGCGAGCCAAGATTTTGGAGTTGAGCGATGGTAACAATGATCAACTAGAGCAGTCAATGATTGCAGCAGGAATTGGTGGTAAACACCAACGTTTCGATTCGTATATGAGCGCTGTAATCACACCTGACGGCAGTATAACGTGCGACGCCAAAAATCTCAAACCAGAGCATCTTTTTGATGTTATAGTTGTTTCATCTGTAGGTTTTTGACTCTCCAGACGTTTTTCGCTGACTTTTTCGCCACAGAAATCATCGACGGCCTATGTTTTGGATCATTTCGATGCTCTTAAACCGTACTTTGCTCCAAACACATTCTTCGTCTTCACAAGTGATTCAACAGCATCTCTGTCGCTCCATCAAAAACAACTATCTTTGCTCTCAGCACGTTTGAATCATTCCAAAACTACAATCACAATTGCACGTCCCGAATCTCGTTTATTTGACGGGAAGGTGGCTCCAGATGGATCGAAATTCATTCTGGTATTCCCGAACGCTACACTTCCATACTCACCCTTGAACCACGCGATAATCAATGAACTATCAAGGTTTCTCAAAACTCCCATTCAGCTACTAGGTTTAGAAGAGGTTTCCCATGATACGCTCCCCCCAAACTCAATGGTTGTCTGCACCCTCGAACTCGAATCTCCACTTCTAAACAATATGACGTCCAATCAGCTCGAACACCTGAAGATCATCTCAGAGAATGCAGCATTTATCCTTTGGTTGACGGGCGGCTCTCTCTACACCGCTTCAGATCCAAATTATGCTATCGTCCTTGGTCTGTCCCGTTCGCTGATGCTGGAACGTCCATCGCTCCAAATGCCCGTGTATGATATTGATCTTGCAACACCTCCAATCATCTCTGCACAAAATGTGGTTTCGGTAATAAAAGAGGTCTTGGGCAGTGAAACGGTTCCGGATACTGAGTATCGCCAACATGAAGGTGTCATTTACCACAGTCGCGTCATTCCCGATGCTAGTCTCAACATAAGCTTCAGACGTGCACAAGATGAAGAGGTTACACTCATCCCGCTTCAGGAAGCAGGGTTTTGCAGGCTAGCGATGAAGAATGTACGAAATATCAACACTTTGCGCTTTCAGCAGCTTGAAGAGGAGGAATTGCTTCCAAGAGGATATGTTCAGGTACAAGTCAGAGCTATGGGCATCAATGCCAGAGTAAGGACTACTGTAGACAAACCTATTGTCGTAGAAAGATACTGATGTAATTGTAGGACTATGATGCTCTGACCGAGAAAGTCGATGTCCAAAATGGCACCTGCTCGCTGGAATTTAGTGGTATAATCACAGCAACAAACTCACAGGTAACAACATTCCTGCCCGGTGACCGTGTGGTAGTGCTGGCTCCAAATCATGGGGGAACGCACGAGCAAGTACCAGAATGGGCGTGTTGTAGATTGAAAGATGATGAGGACTTCACCGTGAGTATTCCTATGGAGCTCTGATGCGCTATTGTAAGCTGACATAGACCGATACAGAATATGGCCACAGTTCCAGTGGCTTTTAGTACAGCATTATTTGCGCTGGAAGAACGCGCGAAATTGGAGACAGGCCAGGTAAAGCGTTCTTTCCAAGATAATGTAAAATAGTGTATTAACATGTTAGTCAATTCTCATTCATTCAGCCACGGATAGCGTTGGACTGGCTGCTATACAGATTGCACGACTCAAGGGTGCAGAAGTGCGTGTATCTTTTCCGAGAAAATTCTTAGACCCGCTGACTTAAATTTTTCAGATATATGCTACTGTCGACACAGATGCCAAGAAAGCTTTCTTGGTAAACAAGTTACACCTCCCATCGTCCCAGGTGTTCTTTCAATCTCCCAGTAACACCATGCTAACCGATATCTTGTGCGCAACGTCGGGCAAAGGAGTAGACGTCGTGATGAATTGTCTTGCGGGTGATTTGCTACAAGCCAGCTGGAAAGCCGTAGCCGACTTCGGGACTTTCATTGAGCTCGAGAAACGCGATATCGCTGATGGCGGCCTATTGGACATGTGTATGTTCAATTCGGGCGTCACGTTTACGGTGCTGGACTTGAATGATATATTTTGGTCCGAAAAGGAAACTAGACGCCAGACTATCCACAAGTGTGTTTCCTTGTTTCGAATCGGCAATGGAGAGTGCTAACGGAAATTAGATTGCTACATAGAAGTATAGAGCTGCTTAGGGAAGAGAGAATCAGGCCAGTATCACCATTGACGGTCTTTCCCGCATCTCAGATTGTCGAAGCATTCCGTTATTTTTCATCCAACGACCGCATCGGGAAAGTTGCACTGACCCTTTCCCCTTTCGCTGTCATCCCAGTAAGTTTTCTTTCCTTTTCTGAGATCCACATCATGAATTTTTTTTAGAAAGCATAAGTATGAACCCAGAAATTTAGGTAGTTCCACTGAAATACCACACGCGCTTCGATGCTCAAAAAGCATACATACTTGTCGGCTGCCTCGGTGGTCTTGGGAGAAGCCTATCACAGTGGATGTTGAAGCGTGGGGCAAAAAACTTCATCTTCATTGGGCGCTCTGGGACCTCCAAAGCTGCTGCACGAAACACGGTTGCAGATCTACGAGCCGCAGGCGCAGATGTGGAGGTTGTGCAGGGAGATGTGGTCAACTATGCCGACGTTGAACGGGGGGTATTAGCAGCCAAACAACCAATTGGAGGCGTCGTCCAAGCGGCTATGAGTATCCATGTAAGTCTTCATGATCTGCCATCGCTTGTCGAAGCTAATCAAGCAGGTTGCGCTGTTCAATGAAACCACGACTGAGAATTGGCACTCGGGTATAAGCCAAAAAGTGCAAGGCACTATGAATCTCTATAGAGCCTTATCAAGCACTCGCAATACCACACAACTAGACTTCTTCCTTATGCTCTCCTCCGTAACGGGAAGTGTCGGGGTTGCCACAGAGAGCAATTATTGTGCCGCCGGTGCCTTCCAAGATGCGTTTGGAGCTCATCTCCGCAGTATTGGCCTCCCCGGTATCTCGCTCGGTCTCGGCATGGTTTCCGAGGTTGGATTCTTACACGAGAGACCAGACACAGAAGCGGTACTTTTGAGAAAAGGATTGCATCCGCTTACCGAGGATGAATTCCTGCAGGTGGTAGACGGGGCTCTCAACTCCTTGAAAACGACTGACGAGTCAGAAGACACAGCTTGGGGTAAGAAGCATCATATGGGCGGTCATATATTGACCGGGCTCGAACTCCAAGGCTTTCAAAAACATCGCGACATGGGTTTTGTGAGAGGAGTTGTGGTGCTCGAGGACCCTCGTTTGACGTACATGGCGAGGGCATTTGCGGCATCTGCACCTGCTAATAGCAGTGCTGATACTGTTGATGCAGGCGGCTTTCCTGAAGCTGTCGCTGCAGCTTTGGCGATGAATGACAATGACGCATTGCCGAGTGCAGGTTTGACTGACGCGATTGCAAACGTGGTGATATCACGAATTTCAACATTACTATTGGTTCCTGCGACGCAGCTGCAAGCGACGACGCTCCTCTCAGACTTTGGGATGGAGAGCATGCTTGCGGCGGAATTTCGATCGGATATGTTTAGGGCCTTTAGGGTTGATGTGCCCTTTGCCATTCTCATGACTCAAGGTACTCAGATACAGAGTATAGCAGAACTCGTCGGCCAAAGTTTGCTCGAGCAGAGGTAATGCGTGGAACTCATCAGTTTTCCAAAGTAGTTGAGTTTCAATATCAACCAATCACAATTAATCTCAAAATCTCTCCAGTAAAAACTCATTTGAACCAGCAATTCATTCAGCAAGTAAGTTGCTCATCCGTCCATCAACACGATACGTGTTCAGGAGTTAGGGTGTTCTATATCTACAATTCGCCACTACCATACCACATGTATCCATTCACCTAATACACTACACCACCATGTCCCACTTCCATTTCATTTCCACTTCCACCCTCACCTCCACCCCAAAAAAACAAAGAAAAAATCAACAAATGAAAAACTCCTCCCAACCCATCCATCCCAGCTAGTTCAGATCCCATCTTTGAAGACTAGCACAAAAACACCCCAGATATTCCCCATCCATCAAATCAATCAATCAATCCATTCCATCCTCCCATATGATTAGGAATTCGTAGAATACCTCCAACTCCCCTATCAAAAGACAAAAAACATCTCTAACCTCATGCACCCCAATATTTGAGCACCTAGGCATGTAGAAAACAAAAGAGAAAAACAAGGCAAAACCCTTCGAAAAGGGACATAGTTAATACAAAGCAACCAAAATCCGGTTAAGCTTATAGCAAGCAAGAATAGATACTATTTATCTTTGTAAACAAATCCATATGCCTGCCTATCAGCTCGTAAAAAAAGACACAAGTAAAAAGTAAATAAGAATCGCCTTCTTTTTTCTTTCATAATAATCTTGACATGATAATTCGTTCAATAACTCGATCAGTGATCCCACCAAATATTATCGTTCTTCTTTTTTGATTTTGATGTTGTATTTTTAGATGCTGTGGGTCTCGTGAATGTGTAAAATGAGCAGGTAACTCATGTGTCAAAGAATAATATATACAAGAATTGTAAAGGTCGTAAGGCTAGGAAGGCAAATCGTGAATCGTAGAGGTAGTGGTCGTAAAGTAGAGGTAGATATCGTTTGGTACGCCGTTGATATCCTGCTAACGCCGTAAACACATAATCAAATTCAAATTGATGTGAATCCAAATCCCGTCAAGTCCTATCCAGGATTGAGCGAGTACTTGGCGATAATGTTAACAGCGAATGCTCCCAGCGAAATCTTGAAAGATTTTAAACGTCCATCATCTCAGCATCATCTAAGACTTCATCTGCTGGTCCCCAGTTTCCTTCAAAAACAGTGGCACCAGCACGACGTCTATTGCTAACCCATTGAAGTCCTGGTGATTCGAGCACTTCATGAATCAAAGGTCGATCTTGGGGACGTGGTGAGATCATCCATCGAACAAGCTTATCGAGTGTACACTCATGATTAGGATCTCTCATGAATTCTGGGGCTTCTTCGAGTTCGCCTCGTCTAGAAGAGCCGAACAAGTTGCTTGGGTCATGGGCGAATGACTTGGAGGATGAAGTGAATCGTTTCCGGCTAGCAGCAATTGGTGAACCAAAATCGACCTCAAGTTCATCATCGCTAGTCATGGAATCATCGCTAGGTACGATGGGGATACCATTGGCATCACGGGGCATGCTACTTGCTTCGCTCCAAGTAAGACTTGGAGCTTCACTCATATCTCCGGATCTTAGACGTTGCCAAGAAACTCCGTTGTCGGGCAAGTATACGTTGGTGGCGATCTCGAAGATGACCATACCAAGAGCGAAGACATCTGCTGGTTTATCGTATTGCCCCAGGAGAATCTCGGGTCCAATGTATTCACGGTCTCCTTCACCTTCAATCGCATCGGAAGCAGGCCATGAAGTTGCCATGCCAAAATCGCCAATCTTCAAGACACCCTCAAAGGTGATCATGATATTGGCGGGTTTGATATCAAGATGAATGAAGCCAGAATCATGAATATGTTTAAGGCCCTGTTAAATGTTAGTTGAAAGTGGCAAAGTTTGATAAGGATTTAACTTGCCTGTCCGATCTCCAGTAAAATCTTCCAGATTCTGAAATCATCTACTCTACCTTTGCGACCATTTTGAGAAAGGAATATATCAAGACTGCCTTCTTCACAATACTCCGTTTGAATGTACAGGTAATTCTTCTCTTCCCAGAAATCGGCATAATGAATGACATTGTCAGCTTGACCAAGTGCCTTGATAACCTCAACTTCCTTGAGCTTTCTTGATCGATCCTTGTAACCTTGATATGGTTGTTTTGACTTCTTAACAGCAAAGACACGGTCTGGTGTAGGTGTTGGTGGTGTTCTACCAGTCATTGGGGAATCGACTGAATCACTAAACATGAATGTTGAAGCCTTGTGCGCACTTTGAGTGACTTTGTATACTTGAGAAAATTCTCCTGTTCCGATCAACTCGATTTTGTTGAATCGTGATACGAGGGACTCATCCACATCTCGGGGCGGAAAACTACCAACGGGGGTAGTGCTAGTTTTACCGAAATAATCTCGACCAGTGGTTGGTGTCGCTGGAGGTGGAGCAACGGGAGCGCTGTTGGCACCTAGGTGAGCATAACCATCTCTATGGTTGGAGATGGAAAGGCTACTAGGATCGGGGAACAACATGTTGTCTTGAGGTGTACAAGGCGACAATTTCTCGAGGAAATCTACACGCTCCAATGGACTGGCTGGAGCCACGTGACTAATTTTAGCAAAACCGGGCTTTCTTGAAGGACTCAAAAAGGAAGTAGTAAGAGATTTAGCCATCAACGGCGAAGGAGATTGGAGGCCCCGCAATGCTCGGGACCTGGAAAAGGATGGTACAGAAATGGAAGTACTGAAGGAAAGTCCGGCAGTGGCAGGTGTTGGAGATTCGTTCATATCCATGGATGTATCACTGTCTCCCTCTTCCTGCTCGCCTGGACTCGTAGAGAGGTTCAACTTACTGCTTGATCTTGGTATCTTTCCTAAGCTAAAACCACCCACGGCAGATGTTGAGGCCGGAATCGAGCGATGACTTGTGGGACTACCGTTTTGGAAATGAGAGAAGCTCGACGCTTGTTTCGTTGGAGTTGGTGGTAAATCAAAGTCACCGATTTGGCTGTCGGTCTTGAAGTCTGGGGATCCACCGTCATCTCCGTCAATACTCAGAAAGCTACCTCGTCTGGTTAAACCTCGTGGCTGGCCGAAACCACTACCGAATACGCCGCTGCCCTTTCCAAAGGTACCGATAGCCGGGACACCGTGGGGGTTGAAAGGAGTAGATGGGGTACCAAACGAATGGCGGATTTGTCTAGCCTTTGCGATGGCACTAGTGGGTACTGCAGCTGGGTAAGTGCCGAAAATGTTGTTCTGCTTTTTACATGGGGTATCTGGAACATTTGACTTGGTATTTCCACGGAGCATCTGGACTTCTTCGGGTCTTCTGTTGACCTTTGAAATCAGACCTGTAGACATGAAAGCAGCAGGTAATGGTTTGACGGATTTGAAATTCTTTGGAGTCGAGAAGTCATCAGGAGCATCCAAGTTGAATGGCCTCAGAGCTCCAGCGGGTAAAGATTTCGAGAAATCAATCTTTGGTTTTTGGCTGCCACCAAAGTTAACAGGAACATGCTGGACAGGTGAGTCCTCGGCGATGCTCGAGTTGGAGGAAGAGGTTGTCATGGTTCGTGAGAGTGGGTGAGGTTGATGGGTCGGGTGTTGAGTAGTTTGTTGCGATTGATTAATCATATGCATCGAAGCATTTGGAAGGTTACCTTGGTGGCTGAACGGACTATCACGGTTCAGGGGTGCAACAAATTGATCCAATGACAATCTTGGACGATTCTTTTGCTTACTGGGGCTAACAATATCCTGATTCGCAATCGCAAAAGGCTGTTGCTGTGCGGATTGTTGTGCAGCCAGAAGCTGAGCGGCATGTCTTCTACCCCAGGAAGTCTTCTCGCCATTTCTTTGAAGTAATGTCGATTTGCGCAGAGAGGAGGAACGTCGAGGGGTAGAGGTAAAAGGAGATGCGGTACTTTCCGAAGTAAGAACTGTAGCTGATAACTCATATTCGTGATTCAAATCGCTGTGGATATCGAATTTGGTAGGTGAAGTTGGTACTGGTGCCTGTTCAAGAAGATTGAAATCATGACCAAAGTTGGCAGAACCGTGAAGACTTCTGCGCTTTGCGACTGGACTTCCGAGGGTCGCTTGTTCCAGATTCATGACGGGATCGCTGCGCTTCAGTGGACTTGGAGTGGATGCGCAATCACTAGCTCCGTCACTGCCCAATCTCAATAATGCCTGGTTGGCCGGCGCGTGTGCGTCCAAGCTCAGTTGCATTCTAGGGAGCTTCTCGAGTGCCTTTCTCTCCGCCGGGCTGCTACCTCCAGAATTTTCTTGTCCACCCATGTAACCCAGTGGTGTTGGGGTCGCGTTACCCGTATCGATTGTTTGGCTCAATGCCCGCTTCATAGGACTTCTGGGGGAGGTTCGTAGGCGGGTATTCTGTCGAGGAGGGGCAGTCTTGGCTCGCGACGAGGATCGAAGTGCCAATCTTGCGCTTGGAGGAAATGGAACGGCGAGTGGCGATGGAGTGTGAGGTGTATTTGTACCTGCGAATAGCGCAGGGTATGAAGACGCGCGCTTGGATGGTGACACTGGAGATGGCGACAGTGGAGATTTTGGAGATGGACTTGGGGATTTAGTGGCCAGGCGGAATTTGGATGGAGAACGCGATAGAGAACGTCTTAGCGATCTGACTGCGGAGGTTACATCAACATGGTGAACATGTGTGGGTGATGGTAAAGTGAGAGTGCCTCCGCCGCTGTTGGAGTACGACATGATGTTTGTTGGAATGTCGCGGCTTGACAATTTAAGATGAGTGATCTTCTGTTTTTGGCGCTGGATTCGGAAATTATCTGTCTTGCGACATTCGTTACAGAAAGTGAATGTCTTTTCTTTTCGTTCTAATGTGAAATGGTGTCGCGTCGTCTTGTCGCAAACTTTCGATTCTAGAAGGAAAAGGATTGGGAATGAAATGGACCAGTTAATACAGAGTTCTTTTTATGTTGCCGGTTGGTTCGAATGGTCGACAGAATAGACTACAAGT